AAAAAAAAACAAAATAAAAAAAAAAAAAAAAAAAAAAAAAAAAAAAAAAAAAAAAAGACATCAACCACAGGGTGGATAGGTTTGATGCTTTTAAAAGGTTCAAAGTGATCAGAGACTGATTTAAAACATAATGCACAATAACTCACAAGGAAAACTCTCCATGGAGAGCCAAAGTCTGCATTCCTACATCCGTGCCTCCGGAACAGCCACATCCATGGGGTGCCAAAGAGTTTCTACTTACTTGTATTCCATATTTTGAGTGGCAAATCTCCCAGGCCTCAGCAAATTAGTCCTGCTGACCTACATGGAGGAGAAAGTATGGAGGGCTGGATTCAAAGAGAAGTCAATGAGAAGCTTTGCACTGACAGGCCTACACCCATCATCCCCTGCTGAGGGGATGTACTGTGCATGTCCAAATATTTCCCAAGCCAAAGTCTCTCACCAAGTTTCCAGTGAACCTAGGTCAGGGGTAAAAGTGTCTTCATGTATAGACTTTTATTCTTGTTGGGATTATTATTATTAATTTGTGTTACAGTGTGTGCTGCAAGGGAGAGCACGGCCTCATTTAAGCACCATGCACAATTGTAAGAAAAGACCATTCCCACTTCAAAGAGCTCATGCCCTAAATAGACAAGGCAGACAAATAAGGAAATCTTAGCCCCATTATGTATCCCAGGAACTTCTTAAGTCACAAAGCAATTAAGTGACTAGTCCAAGGCCACTCAGGGAATATGCACCTCACCATCAGGGGACCGCTGCAGATCCAAAGACTGAATTCCAGATCACTTCTAGTGCACACATGGGAACCAGGACTAGGGCCTAGATGGCTGATCTTGAATCATTTATTAGAAAATGTAATTCACAGAATGAAATAAGAATAATACCTAGATTTTTCAGGGTGCTTTTCATCTTTAGGTCTCTCCACCCAAGGTCAATATCATTATCTTTATTCTACCAAGGATTTTCCCCAGGATCTTCTCTGTGTCTATCTTTATGTCTCTGTTTCCCCATACCAAAAATGGTAGAGTGAAGCTCACATACCTTTTGATGAAAATGTATGTGCAAGTGCTGGGCATTTTGACAACCTACTCATTCTTCACCTTACATTAGATTACTCCATAGTGTCAAGTGTGCATCATCCTTGCTCTCCATGTGATTCACTACAGTTCAATGATAACTTGTGGAATAAATATTTTCAGGGCCACCATATCGTTATCGGAGTCCCATGAAGAACACCAAGGAGCTTTAAGTGAAATTTAACCCTAAGAAGAGAGCAAGTGGTTGTCTTATGCCCCACTGTACTTTTATCAGGACTTTGAGGACTTTCGTTAGACTGACATTGTGCAGATGTGACCTAAACTGGCAGAATGGGACTCCTAGGTCCTCTCTCCCCATCGTAGAAGTAGTAAAAGGTTGAAAGCCTACTTTCCTTAGCAAATGTCAGTGACTGCTAACACTGGCGTCCCCAGGTTCAAACCACACTGATGGCTAGGAGCGTATGCACCTTTTAGTTTAATCTTTTCATAGCCCGAGACCGGCACAATTGTTCAACTAAAAATTCCAGTTAAATTCACCTTGGCCACAGTAACATTTCCCTTTAGCAAGTAAACTCCAGTCCTTCAGATACGTTCAGGAACATCTAGCACATTCACCCAATTGGGGATTTATGTTTAAAGAAAAAAGATTAGTTTCTATACATTTTATATACAGACAACAGAAACATATGTTCTAAATATTCTGTAAATAGGATTTTGATTATGGGTGCTTTCTCCAGCATAAGCAGTCCCAAGACTTTGCATAGATCCCTAATTTGAGTTTCTGATTTTTGGCAATACCAAATGGCAATGCCACTTTAACCTTCCAAAAACCAAAGGCTAATCAAAATCAATGGAGAAAACACTAATAGAAATTACCTAGTTTACGGGTTACAACACAAGGCTGTAAGTTTGTATGCAGAACTAGTAGTAACATATATTCAAATAGAGAAGGGAAGAATGGTTTGTCAAATATTTAAATCTTAAAATAAAAAGACATTTTTACTTCAGATGAGCTCATCCACTTATCTATAGTTCTAGTTGTAAAATGTGTAGCTATAATTCCCAATATGCCTTTTGGGTAATCCTGCAATTTGACTATTTGGGGCATTTATAGGCCCTTTAAATTATGGCTGTTTTTATTACATTGACTACAGGATTACAGAGGTTTTCTCTCATTAATTAACTCTTACAGCATCATGGCAAGATCAAATATTCACAGTATAGACAAACTGAAGCACCTAGGCTAGGGACAGAAATTACACATAAACTGGTATAAATGATCAGAAACTCATTCAAATCTGTAACACAATGAAGTTCAGTGCACATAAACTACTTTCAAAATGGCCAAAATCAGTTTAAGATAAACCTGGATGGATGTAGCATCAGACTTAACTGATTTAGGTTAAATTGGTTTACTGAACTTCTGTCCCAGATCCCCTCCAGAGTCAAGTTAACTCAGTCCCCCAGCATCCCAGGATGCTTTGCACCTCCCCTGCAAACCCCCCTTGCAGGGTGGGTGAGCTAAGCTTGGCATAGCTGTCTGCTCCAGCTGAGCAGGGAGGTGTGCTCTAGTGCCCCCCCCCCCTTCATCTTCTGGTCTGGGCCACTGCAGGCATGTGGCTGCTTTTCCAGAAGCAAAAGTGAATGTCTGTTCACTTGCTTATCAGTGCAATCAATGCATCTTAGGCTAACCTGCAAAGATTAAATCGTTTCAGCCTTGGGGTTTTTGACTGTCTGTACTTAGCCATAATGGTTAATCTGTGACTTCCCTTAATTGATCCTGCCTCATTTTTGGCACAGCAGAGAATTTTAAAAAAAGCAGACTTTCCCTCTCACCTGCTAGGACCTCTAGACCTTCCCCAGTCAGCAGCATTTCCAGTGCCCTATAACATCAGATTACAACTGTGCCAGCCTGAGAACTGAGACAGCTTATTGAAAACCAAAGCAGCTAGTGTGTGGCCTTGCTACAAGAAGGAGTTTGATTTCCAGAAATTGATGTTGCATAAAGAGGCTATGCACTGAACGGATTGCGCTCTGTTGCGGACACAGGTTTTTGTTGGTACTTGGGCAGTTGCCTGCAGGCTCTGAATCTAAATCCCTCATTTCCAGTGTTTACCAGGTCCATGTTAAAAATACACACACGTGCGCTTTAGAGAATGCCAGCGTGGCTTGCGCCAGATGCAGAGGGGAATAGAGGAAAACTCAGAGCAGGGCAATATATGCTACAGCTGGTGAGATGAAAAATAAAAGAGAATTCAAAAGAAGTTACCTGGACAGCTGTTCCAAAGCTACAGCAAAAAGCAATGTTCACCCTTCACAAGCTAGTGTGCATTATCCACTGACGCATGCAATTCAGTGTTAACCTGCCTCTTTCCTAGGTCCTTCCACTCAGCTACTCTGCTCAAATGGGCCTTTGCTTTTCCTTGAGTGCCCACAGCGAAGGCCTCGGGGATGTATTTTAACTCTTCAAGTGAGTAATCAGTATGTCTAAGACAGATTCATTATTAAAAGTCCATCTTTTTACTTGTGTTCTCTTCTCCCTTTCCTTGACTCTAATGCTCACCAGTTCTTTTGCTGTTTTTACTTTCCTGCCCCATTCAATTAGCCTTAGATAGAACAGCTGGGTCTCTTCAAGGGAGACACCAGCATGAAATCAATGTAGTGGTTTATAGAGTTTCACTGACTCCAGGTGAGGGTAGAGTCCCCTTCACTTAAATTGCCACCTTGGAAATCCCCCAGAAACTCAGAGGGTTGCATGATTATTATCTATTTCCTGTGCAGCTTAGATCCTGATAAATGTATGGTGCTAACTATAGTCATAAATGTCCATGAGCATTGAATCAACGGCAAACTCATTGCCTTAGACTGCAATGTCTATGGGACAAGGGAAATGTACTCCCTGTTAAGCCATTTTGTGCAGCTACTTTGACCCTGAGTACAAGTAGCAAATGAATAAGTAAATAATAATGATACTAAAAGAATAGTTCAATGGAGTGGTGAAGAAAATGATTTTCTCCTCCCATGAAAATGACAACAAATGCAAAATTCTTTTTTTGTCAGATTTTCACTCTGTGTGTGTGTGTGTGTGTGTGTGTATGTATTTCCATGACAAAAAAAACTCACCACACTCCCTCTTCCCTCCTCTGCCCCCCTCCAAAACTTCCAAAAACAAACCAAGTGCAAGCGTTTTCAGCTGCAAATGTTCAGTTTTTGGTTTTTGAGCAATTACGGGGGGGGGGAGAGGGGGGTTGAAGAGGGACAATGCTGTAAATGAACTGAAAATTGAGCTGAAAAGGTTTCTTATTGGGACAAAAAGAGATGGGATAAAAAATTTTCAACTAGCTGTATTATTTATATAGGGGCAGATATATTATATATGTATCTGCCCGCTCTAGAAATAATAAAGCTGATTGAAAATGTTATCTCAGCCCTTTTTGTCCTATCAGCATACACACATGCATACAGACACGCACACACACACATACACACGGCTGTATATATTTATATATAATTATCTGATCTTTTCTAAAGTGAAGATTAGATAATGAGATATATATATACACGCACACACACACACACACATATACATACACACACATATATGTGCGTGTATTTAAGTGGGAATGGTTTAAAATTTAATCAACATACACCGTGTGTGTGTGTGTGTGTGTGTGTTTATGTATGTGTGTGTGTTTTGATTAAATTTAAAACCACTTACATTTTATTATTAAATAAATTCCATGTCACTTCCCTTCCAAACTTGGAGACAGTGTACTTGCTGCTCTGTCTGGCAAATGAAGCAGTCTGCTTGTAGACTTCTGTTATTTCCTGCCTGTTATCCCTTCTCTCCTAAAAGAAATCAATATTGGTGTAATAAAAGCTGTGTGAATAATATATACATTTCCTCTCTACTGAGTTGATTTAGTGCCATATTTATTAATTTCATAGAATAAACAGCACAAAAAAGGCTAATACAATACTTGCAATACTCAAGGGTCTTGTATTGCATGGGAATGGGAATATTGCTTCAGTCTGGGTGCTTGTATACATTATTTGGTGAGTATTATGCAATGCTAGTGAGTTCTGTGCTGTATTTATGGGCCACAAATGAGAAGTGGCCTCAAGAATGAATGAAGGAGCTGGTTTCCATACAGTAGCCTTCCCTGTTTTTTGCAAGGTTTCTTCATAGAGTTGCCAGGCTTCTCTCTGAGAAAAAAAAACCAGCCTGTTTGTCCAGTTTCCTTGTAGGAAAGGGCAGGTGTGAGCTGGGAAAAGTGAAATTTTAACAAAAAGAAAGACCTCATAAAACAGCATGAGGGCTTGGTTTGCTTCATGCATTTTCCAGGTGGTGTCTTCTCTCCGCTTCCCCTACTCTCTTTGGACCAAGGCGTTATTTTCTTCCGTAGAGAGGGCAAAGGGAGAAAGAGCCTGAGGGTTATAAGTCTTCAGCACTGAACTCAGGCTAAGCTTGGTATGAAGCTACAGCAACGAGTGGGCTTTCCCTTAGCATTCCTCTGCCTGCCTCTTCTCTTCATCTCTAAGTTTGAAGGCAAATCCCCTATTTACTTAGTTTAGGATGACTCAAATCAATTGTCCTCCTTACACCTGGAAATACACTTCCCAATGCCAGAGTCTGTTTGAGTTTTATACGTGCCCTTCTCTAGGAGTTTATAACTCAGCTGTAAAAGTTTGCGATGGGGTGGAACATAGCAATATATGCAATCTCAGCCTGGAAAGAAACGGTTTATATAAAAGGTCATTAAAATGGATTTGGCTATTTTATTTATTGATTGATTTACTTTAGCAGCAAGCAAAAAAGGAAAGGAAAAAACCCACAAAATTTTGGCTGCATCTTTTGTTTATTTATTTTTGGCTACAATAAAGCGGGGGGAGGGGATGGGGGGAGGAAATAATGCTTGTATTTTTTTTTCCCCACAGAGCAAGGAATGAACCAGCTCCTTTGGAAAAAGGAAAAAGTATTCAGGTATTCACATTGTTAATGGATTTTCATAATGCTAAACAAATTATGATGCGACTGTTGCAATGCAAATGGGATCTCAGTGAGATTTTGTGTTTCAGGGCCTTATCCAAAGGCCATTGATGTCATTGGGAAGAATCCTATTGAACTGGCTTGGGTTTGGATCACTTCTTCTGCTCATAGCCATTCTGTAATGATGCGTGTTGCTTGTATTACTCAGTGACATTTTGCACCGTGACATAATGGGCACAGTAAACACTAACATTGGAAAGAACATTTTTATGGTATAATGAATCTGCCCTGAATCCCAACTGGATGCTTTTGTTACCCAAATAATCTTATAGACTCTGGTCCTTTTGTTTCACTAATAGTTTGCAGAGATACCAACTTTTGTGATCTTATCACCGGTTTTGCCGTACTACAAGGTTTCATGCGAATATTTTAACGTCGTTAAAATACATATTCTTTCCTTCACAGCTGTAGAGAAATGCTTTGGGAATGTGTCCTGAGAAAATCGGAAGTTAAATGAACAACAATGCAAAAGGTATTTCTTATTTGGAGAAAAAAACTCATAATTTTGAAGGCAGTCGTTTGCATTTTGAATCCTAGAGGTTAACAAGCCTGAGGTTAGATGCTTTGTCCCTTTGGTGTCATTAAGGAAGACAGGAAGAGCACCTAGGAATTACCTGGGACAAGCTGGGTTTAACAGTCCAGTGCCTGGAAAGGAGGAGCTAGTGAAGACACTATAGCTAAACTTCTGCTTCATTTAATCCGGAGATAATGCTGCAAGCTGTCCAGAGCCTGACTGCTATCAAATATGGATCCATATATTTCTTCTGACTCACTCCACCCGCTCCTCCCCGCCTCCCTCAGCTGTAGGTATCTGGCTTCATTGTTTTGGACCATAAAATGCTGAGGTCATTTTCCCTTTAATTTTCCCTCCAGTATTCTAAGGGACAAGATGAACGCCTGTGAATTATCAACACTTTTTAAGAAAAAGGATGAAACAAGCAGAGGATCCCATGGGTCATGAGCCTCACAACTTTTCTGAAGAAAAGATTACATCATTTTCTCAAATTTGGGACCAGATCCACATCTTCACTAAGACTAGATCGTGGGTGTGTTGGCAGATGCTACTATATTTATGAACATCCATGCATATCAGTAGGGACCTACCCCAACTGAGGCAGTGGATAAGCAGTTTTGCAGGCCAATCACGGTGCTGGACGCCATTTTCATGGTTTTCCCCTGCTGGGCCCCCCCACCATCTGCTGCTGATTGGCCAAGGGGCCCCGGTGGCCCCACATTTTGGCCAAAAGGGCTGCCTTTTGAGAGGCCCCACCCCTCACTGCTAATTGGCAGAGTGTAATGTCCTTCATGTAACCCCACCCCTTGCTGCTGATTGGAGGAGAGGGTGGGGCCCTGGAAAAGGCAGCCCTCTCAGCCAATTAGCATCAGAGGGAGCGACCACCACCTTCCCTTCATGCCAGAAGCTCCCCTCCAACAGCAGGCTGCAGCAGCTACTGGCTCCCCAGTGGGAGCCAGTTTTATTGGAATTTAATATTTTTTTTATTTTTAATTTTAGTAAGCATTTCATTTTCAGTAAACTTTCTCCCCCCCCCCATTGTTTCCATGCAAAATCATGGAAACTGCCATTTGTCATGGTTTCTGTACAAGTCACAAAATCACAATTTCCGTAGGTCCACCCACGTAAACAAACGTGCACAGGAATGTCGAAATGTCAGTTCACATGTGTGCTGTCCAGCAGGTACGGGGGAACATATTCAGGTGTGCACAAATGTGTGTGCATGTCATTGTTCAAGTGTGTGCAGGGCTCGAAACAGTTAAAGGCAAAGATGTGCCTTGCAATGGCTTGTTTGCACTGCATGTTTTCTCAGCCTTCTGACCTGCAGGCACACACCTGGTACCGGGGTCAAGTTACAGCCAGGCTCCCTGGTCTGCAGGTCAGGACCTGGCTGATGATAAGAGGCCTCTAGCCCTTCTTTGGCAAAAGCGACCACTTAAAGAAACAAGAGAATATTAGGGAATATTAGATGTCACTCAGTCTTTCTTTCGACTTAATTTCCCTTCCTTTAATTATCACAAAAGGTAAACACTAAATATTCCAGAGAGTCACGGTCAGGGGAAATGGTATGAGCTACATGTTCATTATGTCTTCGCCTAAGAGCAGAGCTGGGGAAAAAAAGTTTGTAACCCGCCCTATTAAACTTCATTTAGCTACTGTTAATTACGAACCTTGATTGAGCTCGCACAGCTCTAGATGGAACATTTGAGTTCTCCTCTACAGCAGCCTCATTTAAAAACTCTAAGGAAATGTCAGTGAGGAGAGACCATCTGTTTTCTGAGTGGAAACCCACAAAAAAGGGGGGAAAAAAGGAAACACCGCATTTGAAATTTTTATTCTTTTCTTTCCTGTGGGGAATGATGTGGGAGGGGGCAATTAGAAAGAGAATGGAATACTTTTTAATAGTTTCAGCACTGCCATTAAAATGCATAATTAATGCAATAATAATACAATGCACCATGTTGCTAGCTATAACTTTTCATAACACGATTTTACCAGTTTTCCAAAGAAGCAAACTGAGGCACACAGCAATTAAAGCAAAATTTTCATGAATGCAGAACGTCCTGGAAGACCCAACAGTCAAATCCAGGAATTTGGATGCATTTCCTTATGTGGCAGCCGCTATGCAGAAATGTCCCAAAGAATTTTGTAAACCCTGCAGATGGGGTCATTTTCCTATGACTGAAATGCAGCTGTCACTCTATACAGACCTAGCACTATGTAACATGGGTGCATGCTACCTGAATACAAAAGGGACATTTTAGGTATTGTTGGCAGGGTGTAATTACACAATCTGGACCTGGGCCATGTTATAATGCAGGGCTAACACCCTTATTCCTGGAAAAAGTGTGGGATCTTTAATGGCCCTTGGTTTTATGCTTCACCTGCAAGTAAATGAGTGGCACCAGTGGGAGACGGAGCCAGTTACACTGACGCGAGCACTACTAAATCTTCCTCAGAGCAGAAGCATTTCATACTGATCAGTATTAGCCGTTGACCTTGTTCATCAGCCTATGGAATAAGAGCAACATTCCTGGAATTACCTTTCTTTCCTAACCCCTACCCGAAAGCAGGTCAGTAGCATTATTAGCCCATTATAAGTTGGACCATCCATGGATGTACAGTAGTTAAGCATAGTGACCCACCTATAAAAATCAGCCTTTGGTCCCAACAGCTTTAAGTTTCATCTCTAATATATGTTAACTATACCTGCTCAGGAAAGAAATGTAGGTTCAAAAGCAATGGAACAGAAATATGGAGATTAGCAAACTGATAGATTTGAAGCATGAAGGGCTTGTTACTACAGAAATGCATCTTATTGAGCCTAACCTGAGCACATTGGAAAGTTCATTTGACTTTAAATCTTTCTCAGCCCTTTATAATAAATGTTATAGTTTTACTGAACAGTCTCTTTCCATTAAAACTATAAACTTCATTGGAATAATTAAGACTGATTTAAAGTAAAATTAAGTTTGACATGTGGCAGGTGAAGCTGTGCCATTAATTTCTACTATATACCTGTAAATGATGGATGAGACAAGATGAGGGCATGGGCCAGAAGGGGAAACACCTATGTCATTTCAGGCTCTTGTTCAAGTTTTAGGGTGAGAAGTGCAGAAAACTGCCATTATTTTGGAACTATTTGGTATCACTCACAGTGCAAGTATGTCAAGGCTTGATTCTATGTTCATAGTTTCATAGTTTCTAGGGTCGGAAGGGACCTGAGCAGATCATCTAGTCCGAC